AGAGAGAGAGAGAGAGAGAGAGAGAGAGAGAGAGAGAGAGAGAGAGAGAGAGAGAGAGAGAAGCCAAGAGGGAGGAAAAACTTAAATGACGTTCTCTTGTTTTAAAAAAATCGCGCGCGCTAATATAATATATAAGGACTTCCCCGTATGTACACCTATTTACACATTATAAAGCTCATTACGCTATAACAACACGTTCCGTTTCCTTGTCTCTCGTTCTAACCCTCCTTCATACGGCACTAGGTCATTGGATTAAGTTGATCCATTCATAAGTTCACTCACAACTTTCAATGATCTATGTTCAGCTGTTGTAAAATGGCCTTGATAATAAAAATTAATATGAAAATGTTTATTTCATCAATATCACTCCTTGATCTCGAAACGAGATGCCGTCCGTTACTCCGCTATATTCAGATTTTCAGTAGTAATGCACGATATTTATCAGACATCCTTCGAATCCCTTCACTCAAACTATTTCTGAATTTGGCTTTTGACGTGGTAAATGAGAAAAGAATTCTTCGCCACAATTTCTTCTTTGCAAACTTATTTTTATCCGATTTGCAAGAGATGAGAGCTTCTCTATATCTCGTAACATGCGCAACTCGAACTAGTCGATAATATTTAATTTTTTTCAAGTTGATGCTTCTTAGCTGCTTTTGATTTGATCTCCGTTTAACAATCTAACGGTGCTACCTTTTTCTTCGGCTTTGACAGTATCGAAGATTTCCCTTTACCTCAGACATTTCGCCTCTGATAAAACACGTCTTATCTTTTACGAAAATTGTTATTTCCGTGTATGTAAATTTCTTCTCTCTCTTTCTCTCTCTCTCTCTCTCTCTCTCTCTCTCTCTCTATCCGGAGCAAATATAAGTCGGTATGATTCACGTAAAAATCTTCAATCGGGTCACGATACTCCACTATATATTCTTAACATTGCATCTTTAAAACTCTGAAAGATCGTTTTTTATCTTTATCCGTATTTCAAACACTTCAGCACTAAAGACGAGGCTGCGAATCGGATACGTTGCAAAATGACATTATCGGGACGAAATTCAATTCGCGTACTTCGACTGAGAGCACGATTGGTCTCATGGGGTCTTCGCAACGCACACATATAACTTATCAGTTCTTCAATAGTTAGCACAATTCACTCGAGTTTATGAGTGGAAGCTGTTCGTATTATTTGGGTATCTTGCAGATACTGACAGAGGGATTAATGCGATAGTCAATTAATCCAATAGACGGAAAATAGGGGCAGAAAAACGATTTTGTATTAATGTCAATGACACAATCGCGTGTCGGGCTGTCCAGCGGCCAACTTGTCGACTTCTCAGCACTAATTATAAGGAGTCTCGGGAACGTTTCGATCGTTTCATCCTCGTGTCTCTTCGGTATCGTGTGCATGCGTGCGTGCGTGTGTACGAGTAGTTCGAGGTTGTCTCATGGGTGTTTGGAAACGCACTGCAGCCGTGAGGGACGAGCCAGGAACTCGAACTCCCTCTCGTGTCGTTCGGTGGATGGAGACTCTCGCAGGATGTTGGCGGAGAGAGAGAGGAAGAGAGAGAGAGAGAGAGAGAGAGAGAGAGAGAGAGAATGTACGTGCGCGTGTGGCTATAGGTGTATATGTGTGTAACTGCGTTTTTGTGTGTGGTTGTGTGCCTGCGTGTATCCTGTGTATACGTGTGCATGTACATGTGACGGGGGAGCGTGAGGGAGGGAAAGAGAGCTTGCTTGGCTCACTGGAGGCTGACTGTTGGCCCGACCGATCGCTCCGTCCGACGGTACCAGCGTCGAGGCGCCGTCTAACGGAGTCGTGGAACCTGCGGCGCAAGCGTCGGGACGCGGTTAGTCTCGGACAACACGGACGCGGACAGTCGACTTTGGACCATCAACCGACCAGTTTGGACCATCAAACTGGTTCACATTGAAAATATGTTGCTATTCCGATCTTGCCACAAATAACATCATTTCGTGATGTCCCTCTCTCACCGGCTATTATCTATTATTACATTTATTGATGTCACTACTATTACAATTACATTTTAACTGTTTTTAATTATTTGTCTAGGGTTTCCTAAACATTTTACATAACCATAAAAATAAAATTACGAAAATGTTTTTATATGTGATGATAAATTCTTTAACTTTGTATTTGATGCAAAGACGATTATATAAGAAATAAAAAAGATATTTGCCATTTTCATATATTCAATAACTGCATCAGCTTGTCAACAGTTTAGTATTGAAGAGCACTCAATTTTTAATAAATTATTCTTCATAAATAATAACATTTAAATCCAAATTTAATCAGAACAACATACATAAATCTTTGACGTAAAGTGGTAAATGAGGTCATTGAAAAAAATATATATGGCACAAAAAAAACCCAAGTAGAAATATTATATGAACATAAATTAAAATAAATATAATATAAATCAATATTTTAAACCAAATATTAATTACACTATACTTTTTACACATTTATGAATAATGTTGTTATCATTATATTATTCTAGAGAGTAATGTAGCAGAAGAATAATAAATCGATGTTTAAATACTGCGCGCAAACAAAAAAAATGGAATTTACAAAGTTAATAAGTATATCCTTTTGGAAAGTTAACATTATCGTTTGCAAAAAGTACGATGTATAGTGTTACTGTCAATTTACATCTGGATTATATCAATAATTCAATAATTTTAGGCACAAAAACGTATACACACATACATAATTTATATAAAAAATTTTGTATAACATAAAAACTATGACAAAAGGTATAATTGAAAAAAAAGTGCTATTATTAATGATAATAAAGCAAGGTTGCTTGCAGTCTCCTTGCTGAACTAATTCATATTTAAACGAGGAATGCAATTGTAAATAGAGATACTAAAGAGAAATTATCTCGAATTTTCTAACATCTATAGATGATAACAGTGCTGTTCACAGAAAGACAAGAGTTTTAACAAAAAATTAAAAAAGATCTCTTATTATTTGAATTAATTTCACGGATATTATTACTTACTTAATTGATATAATTAGTTTGGTATTTATTATCCATTCGGTATATATAATCGTGTACATGTGATAATTTACTATTATGAATTTAATATATTATATAAGAACAGTATTCTTATATTCTATTTTTATTTTTATAACTTATACGAGTATGCCTGCGTGTATTTTGTTCACATTTTCGATTAAGATTCGATCGTTGGAGATAACAAAGTGCAAATGTATTTCATTTCACATTCAATGCATATATTTGAAGTATATATTAAAATATCTTTGCGAAAACACATAAATAATCACATTTCACAAATTCAAATGCATCTTAAACTACAAGCTCATGTTTTGTGCATCATCTATCGCGAAAACTACGTTTCATTGCGTCTCATGGAATGTGCATGCACTCAATCTTATAAAAACAGCACTCGATAATCTTAGTAATTCATCCGAGCAGAACCTTGATCT